AGCGAGAGCTGAGGACCCTATCCCTCTGGTCAAGGTGCGCTGCGCGGTGGAGGCGGAGGCTGGGCGGGAGGCGACCGGAGCTCCGGGAGGTCAGCAGGTCAGCCGCTGACCGCTAACCGCTCCGCCCTCCCTGGAAGACGTGCTGGGCAGGGAGGCAGCCTGCCTGCCCCCGACCCCCTCTCACCCCCAGGGCCCACCCCTAGGGCCCGGGCCCGGCAAAGCCACAAGGTGGCCCCTAGGCCCGGCGGGCCTCCTACTAGTCCCAGGCCCCAGGAGGACGACGGGCAGCAGCGTCCGTTTGTAGAAGGCCGTGAGGCTGGATGCGAGGCCCCTCATTCGTGGACGTCCCAGATCTCCGACAGCAGCGGCGGAAGCTTCTTGTCCTGGAGCCGCAGGGCGAAGACCTGCTCCGAGTGCACGGAGCTCAATGTGCGCAGACTCACCAGCTTCATTAGCATGCGAGGGAAGCGCAGCTGGTCCTGTGGGCGGGGCACAGCGATGGCTTGGAAACCGCCCCGCCCCCACGCCCCGCCCCTGGGGCGGGAGGGCGGATCCCGCAGAGGGGGCGGAGCAAGCCTGGCAGGGGACGCCGGAGCCGAGGGCTGAGCCACGTGGGCCCCGCCCCCGCCGGGGCGCCGTACCTGCGGCCTCTTGATGCGCGTGTAGGAGAGCAGCGCCTCCACGTAGGGCTGCTGCAGCTCCTCCACGCGGCTGGGCTCCTGCACGTTGGGCCGGTCGGCGGAGAAGATGTTGATGGCGATGAGGAGCGCGTACTCGGCGTCATCCAGGCCCAGGCGCCGCATGGCCCGCGAGAACTCGAAGATGGGGTTGATGAACTCCACCTGCAGGCCTGGGGCGGGCGGGGAGCGGAGGCGGCTGCGGGTGGGAGGCCGGCCGCGCCCCTCCCATTCCCCTGCCCTGAAACTGACCGCACGCCCTGGGCCTTGATCTGCCCACCACCAATGGTGGTGATTACCACGTCACTGTCATTTTTGCTCCCTCCTGTGTCCCCAGAAGGAGCTCCGGTGGTACAATAGTTAAAGCATTTTGGCTGCTAACCAGGTCTGCAGTTTGAACCCACCAGCCACTCCACGGAAGAAAACCAGGCAATCTGCCATCTCTTAAAAAGGTGACAACCTGGAACCCTGTTGGGCAGCTCTGTTCTGTCCTGTGGGGTCCCTATGCGTCATAACCGACCTGATGTCCCAGGGTTTGGGTTGGTGTGGGTGTCCCATGCCTGCGGGCGTGCCATTCCTGCTGACTCAATTCCAACTCACAATAACCCCATGTGACAGGCAGGACTGCCCCACAGAGCTCTTCCAAGCCCGTAAAGACTACAGCCTAGGCTCCTATGGGGTAACGGAAAGGCTGGTTTGCAAACCCACTAGCTGCTCCACGGAAGAAAGAAGTGGCAGTCTACTGCAGTAAAAATTCCAAAACCCAAACCCGACCCACTGCTACCGAGTCCATTC